GAAGAGGGGCGTGGACGCCGCTGCGTGGTGCCCAGATCCAGAGCCAGCGTGGAGGAAGAAGGAGGCCCCTGACTTTCTCACCAACATGAACACGGTTCTCCGCCTGTATTTGCTCACGCTGAGCGACGTCATCGACGGCATGGGCCAGCAGCAGGCGCTCGAGTTTAATGCTAACGTGTGCATACTGACCGCGGAGGGCTTCGTGCAGGACCTGAAGGGCATCAACGTCAAAGCACGAATCACGCAAGGACAGCGCCAGGCGCTCGTCCGCGCCGGCGCGGATGCCACGACGCAGGTAGAACCAAAGTCCCATCGGGACGCCCCTGAGAAGGCCCTTGGCCAACTGCCAGTCGGAGACGAGAAGCCCGATTGGTTCGATTTCACGACGTTGCCGCGCCCAGAGCCGAATGAGCCCGCAATTGCGGGGAAGGCAAAGGGTTCCGCAGAGGGGGAGGAGTTGAGGCCGCCTGTCATTTCCTCTGACCCCAGGACCCAACTATCAACGAGCCACCAGAACAGCAGGGAAGCAACGGCCACCCCACAAGCATCCTTCCCGTTGCCAATCACCGAATGGAGTTCAGCGGCAGCGAAGGAGCTGGGGCGGGAGCCCGCTTGGGCAGGCGCAGCGTAGCTGTGCCTTTGGGCGCGCCACGTGTCCGCAGCTGCGGAAGCGGAAGTACAGGCGCTGCAAAATGTTGCCACAGCTACTCCGGATCTCATAACAATGGGGGGGGGTCTGCTTCTGGGGGGGGTGGTCTCACGGGCTTCGTCAAACACATTTGTGGGGGGGTCTCGATTCTGGACCTTGTGTTGCCTGTCTTGGGGGGAGGCTCCCAGAGCGGCCGTCAAACACTTGTTTGACCCGCCCCCCACTGTTATGAGATTTGGAGCAAGCGGACCGTCAAGTCAGCCGCCGCACACGACGAACAGGGCGTCGACTGAGTGGCCGCGCGCCCCAGAAGCATCCAGGGTGCGGTCCGCCGGCGCGCACCCCGAGGGAGTGCCTGTGCAGGTTAAAGGGGCCCCAGGACACACAAATAAATACACACAAATAAAAAGATTCCCCATATTTTCCCATATTTTCTGGGTTTTCGTCTTCCCCCTCACTTCCTATATTTTCCCATATTTTCCTGGGAGTGGCCGATTAATTGTGTCTGTGTGCTTCTTTCCCTCCTGACAGGTGTGTGTGAGAGAGACGCTCGCAGCCACCGCAATGGCTCTGCCCGTCATTGGGCGTCGCCGCGGATACGGTTTGCTGACTATCGCGCGCTGGGGCTGAACAAAAAAAACAAGTGGCACGCGTGCTCTGGCTCTTGCACCCATGAGGAGAGAAGGAGGAGGACACGCAGAGGGGGGATCGAGGGAACAAGGAGGAGGAGAAGGAGGAGGAGGAGGAGGGGCAGGTGGGGCCAGGGCGCCCCAGTGCTGAATCAGCGGCTGTCGATTGGAACCTGCTCGAAAAAGTTTTTGATGGTAGCTGAGGCGCGATAGATTTGCGAGGCTGGGCCAAGTGGGGAGGCTGGGTCCAGGGACAGGGCCAGCGGGGCGAGGGGGGCTAGGGCAACGACCAGGGGGGAAGGCTGGGTCCAGTGCCAGGACCAGGGGGGCGAGGGCGGCTTGGGCCAGGTCAGGGAGGGAGGCTGGCTCCAGGGCCAGGACAGGGACCAGGGGGACGACGACGAACGAGAATAAAGGGTCCGGCGCGAGGGGAGCTGGGTCCAGGGCCAAGGCCAGGGGCACGACGACGAGCGAAAATGAAGGGTCCAGGGAGAGGGAGGCTGGGGCCAGGGCCAGGGGAGGACGCCGGGTCCAAGGACAAGACCAGGGTGGCGACGACGAGGGGGTCTGGGTCGAGGACCAGGGTGAAGGCTGGGTCGAAGGCCAGGACCAGGGGGACGACGACAAACGAAAATAAAGGGTTCGGGGCGAGGGGGGCTGGGGCCAGGGCCAAGTGAGGAGGCTAGGTCTGGGGCCAGGTGCCGTGCCGAAATAAAGCGGTCGGGGCGGAGGGGACGCGTTGGCTGGTGGGGCCGGCGCCGTGCCAAAACCAAGCTGTCGGGGCGGAGGGGGTGCGCTGGCTGGTCGGGCCAGCGCCGAGCGGGCACTCTGGCTGGCGGGCTGGCTGCGCTGGCTGGCGGGGGAAGGATGCAAAGGGCCGAGGGGCTGCTTCGGCATGGCTGCTTTAGAAAGTGGATGCGGAGGGGGCGCGCTGTGAGGCGCGGGCCGAGGGGCTGCATCGACCGGTGCCGTGCCGAAATAAAGTCGTCGGAGCTCTTAGACACCCTGTGCAAGAGAATGAAAGAGTCGGGGCGGAGGGAGCGCGCTGGGTGCTGTTTGGGGGGGATGTGGAGGGGGCGCGCGGGATGGGGGAGGAGGGTGCCGTGCCGAAATGAACGGGCTGGGGCGGAGGAGGCGCGCTGGCTGGCGGGGGGGATGCGGAGGGTGCGCGTGAGACGGTGGGGGGGGAGGGGCGTGGCGAAATAAAAGGGTCGGGGCGGAGGGGGAGCGCTGGCTGGCGGGAAGGGGGATGGTGGTGTGGGTGCGGGGAGAGGGGTGGGAGTGCCGTGCCGAAATGAAAGGATCGGGGCGGAGGGGCACGCTGGCTGGCGAGTGGGAGGACGCGGGGGGGGGGCGCGCGCGGGATGGGGGGGGTGCCGTGCCGAAATGAAAGGGGTCGGGGCGGAAGGGGCGCGCTGGCTGCTGGGTGGGGGGGGATGCGGAGGGCGTGTGCGGTGCCGAAATAAAGGGGTCGGGGCGGAGGGGTGCGCCGTGCCGAAATAAATGGGTCGGGGCGAAGGGCCGCACTGGCTCGTGGGCGGGGGGGATGTGGGGGGGCGCGCGCGGGATTGGGGGGGGGGCTTTCCGAAATAAATGAGTCGGGGCGGAGGGGGCGCGCTGGCTGGTGGGTGGGGGGATGGTGGTCTGGGTGGGCGGGGAAGAGGGGGGCCGTGCCGAAATGAAAGGGTCGGGGCGGAGGGGGCGCGTTGGCTGGCGGGTGGAGGGCGGTGGTCCTGATGGGCGAGGGGGGGGGCGCGCTGAAATAAAAGGGTCGGGGCGGAGGAGGCGCGCTGGCTGGTGGGTGGGGGGGGTGCGGAAGGGGCGCGTGGGATGGGGGGGGGGCCGTGCCGAAATGAAAGGGTCGGGGCGGAGGGGGCACGCTGGCTGGTGGGCGGGGGGATGGGGGCGCGCCAGGGTCGCGCTGGCTGGTGGAAGCGTTGGGTGATGGAGGGGGTGCCGTGCCGAAATAAAGTGGTCGGAGCTCTAGACACCCCGTGCAAGAGACTAACGGTTCAATGGCGGAACTGCTCCCTCCCTCCGCGTCCTGCTGCTGCCATCCTGCGAGCTTCCTCACCCCTTGCCGATTCCCGCCCCGCGTGCGCGGTGCCCCCCCAGCAGCTCGTCCGACCCCAAGGCTGCCGGCTGGTCTCATGTCCTCCTCCTCCTCCTTCGACATTTCCCTCCTCATCCTCCTCCTCCCCCAGACGTTCAAAGCAGTGCCCTGGCACCGCTTTGAACGCACACCGCTTTGAACGACACCCCGCACGCTCGGCGTATGCGCGCCAGGGGAACGATGATGAAGCAAGATGCTTTCCGAGGGATTCACTCCTGACGCCGTCTGGCCCAAGAGCTCCTCCACCGCGCGCGACTCCGCTGCTCGCGCCCCCTGCTTGCCCGCCGATGCGGCCGAGTAGGCCGCAGTAGCGCACATGCCGACTTCCGATGGTTGGAGCCCTGTGCATGTGGACAGGGTGTTGTGCATCAGTGGAGGTTGGCTTGCGCAGACCGCCCCCGTCCCCGACAAGGATGTCAAGGTACGGTGGACGTTTTAGATAAGGATGCCTTCGATAAGGAACCCAGGGTCTCGCGACCGATGGGCGGCCAAACGTAAACGTGGGCCACCCACCTCGCCTTGAAACAACAAGGAATGCGCCAGGGCCTGGGTCCCAGGAAGACGTTCCTTATCCAATGCCGCCGCCGTAGGGCGCGACTCCGCCCGACGCCAAGAAGCAGAAGACGGGATTGCGCAAGTCGACGAGTGGCCTGCCCCAGGGGCGAGACCCGAGAGAGGGCGGTGCCCCCTGTGCACACCGTGCCGATGCCCGCCAAGCGCCGCCTGAAGTTCCCACGCGACACGGAAGCCCGACACGTGTGGATTGCCAGCCTCACGCGGCTGGCGCTGCGGCTGGACTGGACGCTGCAGACCTTGGGTGGCTGATCGACGTGATCAAGGACGACCTGAGCCTCGGCGGTGTCCCCGACATCGACGACGGTGACAGAGACGAGGCCGCAGTCGCGGACAGGGGCCGGGAAACGGCGGTTGGCCCTGCAACCCCGCAGGCGCGCAGCGGGGAGCCCTTCGGCTCCCCCGTGGCGCAGGCGCGGGGAGGCGGGAATGGCTCCGCCGTCGTCTGGGACCTCAAGGGCGCTTGGCTCGCGACCATCGCGCGAGAGTGTTCCGACAAGGGCAAGAAGATCGAGATGGAGGTAAAGAAACTTACGAAGAAGAGGTGGCAGTCGGCGCGGGTGCAGAAGGGCTACGGCTACAAGAGGGAGGCCGTCGCGCCGCGGCAGCGGAGGCAGGCGGCTCCGGACTCCCTCGAGCTCCGAGCCCCCGATCTGTTCGACGGAGGCCCCGAGCCGCGGGGGCCGCAGTGGCGGCGAGGCTAATTCATTTACGAGCGTCCGCAGTTGCGGGGTTGCTGGGGGCGCGTGTAAGCGCGGAGAGCGAGGCGGTGTGTGGAGGCAGGCGGAGGGAAGCGTCGCCGCGTGCTTTAGTGTCAGCTTCCGCGCGATGATTGGGGCTTCCGCCGGGTGTCTCCAAAAAAACAAATATTTGTCGATGCATTCGTTGATCCGCGTCTGCAACTGCTCCTCCCTCCCCCCCTCCCTCTTCCTATTTCTGTAGCTCGCAGCTGCGTTTCTGGCCCGAACCCTTCGCCTCGCGGGCGCCCATGGATGTCCCCGTGGGGGGCCATGGTATGGCGAGGCGAACATAATGCATTTCGAGGTGGAGTGGCTCCCTTACGACAGCGGCGCCCCACCCAGGAAAACGAAGTACGGCACCGCAGGGGTCGCGAATATTCTGGGCCGCGTAGCGGCGAAACCTGCCCCAAGAAGGTCAAGGTGCACGCGTGCGCGGCCTTTCCGTGCCTAGCGAAGTGGGGGTTGTCGCAGTACGGCTCTGCAGAGCCGCCTGTGCATCATTTGCAGCCGTCTGCGGGAATTCAACCTCAAATGCATTCCTACTGCGCTGCTGGTTGCTGTTCGGTTGCGAAGGCTTGCCGCAGGCAGCTGTATATCTCGAAAAGGGCGTCTCCTTTCGGAACATGTGCAGCACATGTGAAGCTCACACAACGATTACATCGCTGGCCACTCGGCCAGTGGAAGAGGATGCAGAGGGAAAAGGGAGGGAGGACGATGGCAATTCAAGTGCGCAGTTCACTCCGGCGCTTTGGACGAAGCTTAAGCCTAAAGTCAGTTCTTGTCTAAGGACTCGTCATAAACGTGTCAGCGATCTCTAGAATCGCAGGGTCTCACTGGCTGACACCGCCATCCATGTGTAAGCCCAGCGTTCCTGGAGTATGGTGGCTGCCTCCGCGCGAGCTGGGTAGCTAGGCATTCTCAAGCTAGATATGCTCGGACGCGAAATCAGTTCCCTGGTGATACGCAAGGGGTTTCTCCTCCAGGTCGTCCATATCAAAAACGAAGTCTGATATACAGCCTTCTGCTGGGGGTGGCCGGTCACCATCTCCAGGCGGACCTCTTGAATCCTGGCGATGCTCGGGAAGGGGTACGTCCGTGTCGTTCACGTCGAAAATGGACTCTAACCTGTCGCCTCCTTCTGGTGCTGGCTGATCGGCGCCGCCAGCTGCGCCATGCAGCCTTGGGACATGCATCCTCAAGCTTGGAGCCAGGTCCTCCTCATGCTCGCCGAGGTACACGTCCGGACTGTCCATGTCGAAGATGAGCTCTCCCGGGGCCTGGCCAGCGCCTGCAGACGGGCTCGAAGTGAGCTCCTGACGAGTCTCATATTCGGCAACGTGCTCGTCCGCGTTGTCCATGTCAAAGAAGAACTCGAACTTATCGCCGTCTTCCCGTGGGCCCTGCTCGCCGCTTGTCGCGCCTGTGGACGGGGGGCACTGCCTCTGAGCCCGATCGCGTTCCAGACGAAGCGCCCAACGCCGACGCCTGCGCGAAAACAGCATAACGCTGATGAACACGCTCCCGAGACAACACCCTACTCCAATGACGATGATGATGAGCACGCTCGAGGCAGAACCCTGACGTTCGTCTGGCTCTGCCGGGACGGTATGAACGTCGTCAACCACAACCGCGTCGAGTGCCAGCACGGAAACCGAGTACACGGCCTCCCCAAAGTTCGAGTCGATGTTCTTCTGCAGCAAGGACGTGAAAGAACTGACGCTCACGCTATTCAAGGACGCCTCCGCGTCGTCAATACCGAGAGACTCAGCATCGATATCCGAGGGCACGTATATGCTGTACCTCACCTCGAGGATGCCCCCGGCGAGCCGACGGGTGGCGGCCCCGAGCCTCCGCGATCCCTCCGCGAACCAGACGGAGACATAGCTCGCTGGCATGCCCACGACCTGGGAGATCGTGACGCCGACCGAGACCAGCAACTTCTCCGCCTCCGCCCCGCTCCGAACGGCGTCTGGGTCAGAGAACCAAAACTCGATTGACCCGCTCACCTGTGCAGCCTCAAGGCTCGGAGTGCTGCTCTGGATGCTGCTCGTATCGGACGCTGCGGCGCCAACTTGAGACGTGCTGGTTCCACTGGAGCTACTGCCAGTTGTGCTGCTCGAGCCGCTGGCACTGCTGAGAGCGAAGCTACTGGTCCTGCTTGTGTCTGTAGCGCTCGAGCGGCTGGTTGTACTGATGGCACTTGTGCTGCTCCACACGGTGCTGGTAACAGTGGCGCTGTTGATGGTCTCGCCCGTGCTGCTGCGAGTGCTGCTGCTCGCCTGCGTGTTGGTCATCGTGACGCCAGTGGTGCTCGTCTGGGTGGTACTTGCGCTGGTCACACCAAAACTGGTCGAACTAGTGGCAGAAGCACTAGTGCCGGTTGCACTGTAGCTGATCTTGATAGCGGTAGACATGGTAGCGGTGCTTGCCACCGCGGAGCTGGACGTTCCGATACTCGACGGAGTGGTTCCAGTCTCAGCGTTGGTCCCAGAAGAGGCGATGGAGCTAGTCGTGATGCTGGTCCCAGTGCTGGTGCTGGTCTTAGTAACGGTCTTTGTCGCACTTGTGCTTTTGGAGGTGGACACGGTCGCGGTGCCAGTCACCGTTGTGCTGGGTGTTCTGGTGCTTGACGCAGTGGTTACACTCTCTGTGCTGGTCCCAGTGGCATCGCTGGAGCTAACGGTTGTGCTGGTCCCTGTCGTGGTACTGATCTTGGTGACGGTCTGTGTCGCGCTTGTGCTTTTGGAAGTGGACATGGTCGCGGTGCCAGTCACCGTTGTGCTGGACGTTCTGGTACTGGACGTAGTGGTTCCAGTCTTAGTGTTGGTCCAAGAGGATGCGCTGCTGGTATCAGTTTCAATAACGATTTCAGAAATTGTGCTGGTCTGGGAGGTGCTTACTCTGGTCGCTGTGCTGGTCGCAAATGAGGTGGTCCCAGTGGCCATTGACATGGTAGTGGTGCTGGTCATCGTAGTGCTGGACGATGTGGCACTGGATGTCGTCGTCGGCGGCTTGAACCACATCTGCAGGTGCTCATCGTTTACGAAGAGCATCAGGGCCTCGTGGCGGTCCCACTCCATCGCTCCTGAAGTGTTGGTAGAACCGTCGTACCATGCCGCGACGGGAGACTTGCCTGGCGGCGCAGAACCAGTCCAAGAGAGGTTCTCCCACAGGGAGCCCCTGGTCCTGAAGCCATACAGGCTGTTCACCGCGACGGTGCTGTCAGCGCCTTCCGTCCCGCCGAACAGCAGCAGGCTCTCCTGAGGGGCAACGTTCGGGGGGAACTGCCCAGGGCGGGGGGGGGGACGATCATCGAGCTGGAATCGGCGATGCATCGTCGGTGGATCGGGGATCGGCCCCTGACAGCAGATTCGCACGTGCACGGGCGGGGTGGGCTGTCAGGTCTTGTGTCGGCAATGCATGGGCGACTGGGGGTCGACGCGTCCCCTCCTGAGCCCGTCCTCCCCTCGGGCTGCCCCCGATCTCCGTTCTGGGAAGGAAGACCATGGCGTGCTGCCACAGCGAAGGGGTTGCGATCCCGTTGACGTTGGCGGAGACCTGCCACCAGTAATCGGCCCTGGTGTCGTACACGAACAGGTCGCCACGCGTCGAAAAAGTCATGTCCGCATCGAACCACTGACCTCCATGCACGAACATCCTCTCCGCCAGCGCGTCCCAGGCGGCCGCATGGAAGCCACGCGCCCCTGGGATGGTACCGCCCGGAGATCTTCGCGTCCAGGTCTGGGACACGGCGTCGTAGCTCCACAAGTCGTTCCTGAACAGGAAGTCGGAGCCCTGTCCTCCGAAGACAAACATGGTGGAGGTGGCCTCGTTGAAGACGGCGACGTGCCCCATTCGCCCGCCTGGATTTGTGCTTCCGGCTGGAACTACTGACCATTCGCCATCAATTTCACCATTCGTGATGGTGTCGCTGTTGACAGTGTAAATGAACACATCTCTTGACCACGCAAAGCTTTGAGTCAGTCCGCCATACACGAGCAGCTTGTACTCAGCCTCCCACAAAACCATGGTGGTGTACATTGCCTCGGCGGGAATGTTCGCTCCTTGCTGTGGGCATCTTGCCCACTGGCTCTCCAAGATCTTGTAGACGTAGAGGTCGTTAGTGAGCAATTGGTCATACCTGTGACCACCATATCCGCAAGCGCGCCGCGCGATAGCATATGAAGGGAGGGGTGTGGAAATAATAATAGAAAGGTAAAAAAGCAAAAAGGTAATATAGATCAAAATATATATATAAAAAAACACCATGCGGCCAACGTACAATAATACACACAAAAAATACAACACATTTAACAACCATACCATGTGATCAAACAAATACACATACACAATGACAATAAGAAACGCACAACAAAGTAACTCATGAAAATCCAAATAAGCAAAAAGAACCACAATCTCCCGACACTATCAGGCTACCTCAAGCAACATCGAACTTGCTAAAGGCACTCCCGCGGAGGTAAAAGCAGAGTGGTTGTCAAATGACGTCTTTATGGTTTTTCAAAGGCCGCAGCCGCCCCTTATCAACGCGCGTCCTCCTACAAAACCACCCTCTAGTTTTGATTTCTGGAGTCCCTCTTCAGCCTGCAGACGGCGCCAAGTCGGCCAAAGACGGCGCACACCGCCTGCGTGGTGCCTGTACTGCTCGGCGCCCGCTGAAAGAGAACCCAAGAGGCCCAAACGATCCCCAAAGAGGCGCCCAAGGAGGCCGCTTGCGATGCCATGAGAAACCAGAAGAGAAATGAACAACCCAGGGAACTTGATGCTTTGTTGTTTCAA